CTCTAGAAGAAGATCCTTTAGTATGTTGGGAGTTATTTAATTGGGCAGCACAGCAGCCTAGGTTTAGGCATGATGTTTCCACTTATCATATTACCATAAAGAAGCCTGGTGTTTCTAAAATGTATGAAGGGATGGATGTTGTTGTCAACCAAGTGCTTGCACTTCGATCGTTCGCTTCTGAACCTCTTTATAATACTGTTATATTCTTTTTACAGAAGCTAGGAAGTTGACTAGAGCTGTAAATATATTTAAGCATATGAGAAACAACAGAAAATTGGATTGTAGGCCATATATTAGAACATTTAATATTCTTTTCACGGCAATGTTGAGTGGGGTAAGAGATTCTTATATAAACCATATGTACATGGATACTATATTTGTCTTTTCAGGCAAATGGTTAATGATGGGATTGGGCCTGATGTTTTCACATTGAATTCTATGATAAAAGGATACGTGCTGTCACGGGCTCCTGCTGATCCTTTATCTCTTTGCGCATGGTCCCCATGCCATCGCACATGGTCTCCACCTGAGCTTCAAAAGTCTCGTTCCTTTAAGTGATCTCGTCCAAGCCTTGATTGAGAGCAGCTTGTAATTCACCCTTGAGCACCTTCTCCATGGAGTCTAGCACTTCAATGTGAGTCTCCACATTATCAAGCTTCTCTTTCATGTCGCCCATGGTCAACTTCACCTTGGACAACCTCCCATTCATGATAGACCAGATATCTCTAGAATTGGCCTTCTTGCCCCTTCTGTGCCTTTGCTCCTGGGCCTTTCTGGGATGCCATCTCCTCGATTGCGATCTAACCTGCTAAAAACACAAACAAGTAGAACTGAAAGTGCTCTAATACCAACTGTCACATACTCCGACCTAAGACTCAGAATCTATGTGGCCTTAGGCTTGGAATCACCTCCTTCTAGCTTAAATTAGCCTATAACACAAGTGTGCAGGCATTAGAACAATGGGAAAGATATAATGTACAAGTTTGGGAAAACAAGAGAATAAGAGAATTATTGGAATATATTCTGTATTTTACTGAAGCAAAAGTGTATGGTGATATACAAAGGAGGGTGGGGCAACCTTCTCTTTATAGTTGAGGCCCCCAATTAACTTATGTCAAAACCCTAGAATCATAGGATTACAATATCTCCTACTCAATCGGGGATTACACAGATTACATCAATACAAGATTCTGCTTCCTGATTTTTAGGGTCAATCAGATCCTGTTGAAGGCTCCTGCTGATCTTGTGGCTTCTAGAAGATCTTGTTGTGCACTTCCTCTCTTGGGCCTCCCCTAATGTGGTGCGGGCATCTTACAGGCTTGGCCCTGGTCGTGCGGGCAGGCCTACATGTTGTGCGGGTGGTCTAGGCTTCTTTCCAAGGCCTAGTGCACAAGCCCCCGCCAATGCTCCTGGTGCATGAGCCTCAACCTCGGGTGCTCGAGCCTGGCGCGCCCGTCCAAGCCGTGACATTTTCCCCTACCTGATTGCACAACGTCCTCATTGTGTCTTCTGCATGGTACTACCTGATTTGGTCCCGAAACTACCTTAAGTCTTCCGCTGGCTCCTAGCTTGCCTCACTGGTTGGTAGTTCTTCCACCTCACTTTCCGGTCAGCTATGATGCTGTGGACCTCCTTCTCATATGAGGCCAAGTGTCTTCCTAATGCTTATTCCTATGATTATCTCATTTACGGGTTATGTGCACAAGGTAGAACAAATAATGCTATGGAGTTGTACAACGAAATGAAGAAAAATGGGTTTACTCCTAGCAGTAAATCCTATAATTCCCTTGTGAATGCTTTGGCACTTGCTGGAGAGGTTGAGGAAGCAGCACATTGCCTAAGAGAGATGATTGAAATGTGGAAGTCTGCTGATTTAATAACAGATAGAACAATCTTGGTTGGGATTTGCAGAAGAGGAAGGATTGAGGAGGCCATGGGATTGTTAAAAGAGTTGCAAGACAAAGATCTTGTTGATGGACATACTTATAGGAAACTTCTATATACAATGGAGGATGACTGTGGAGATTGAAATGACAGAAGCCAGATCAGGTATAGCATGCAAGATTTTTTATTTTTACTCATGATATCTCTTGTTCTAATATGGGTAAATCATTATTTCTTTGGCATTTATTTCAAAGCCAACGACTAGAATTTGTACCATCGGCTAAAGCTCAAATTCACAAAGTTATTACCTTTGAGTGGTTGGCAACTGTTCCTGATGTTGAGCTTATATTATGGTGAAAGAGATGACAAATTGCAAATAAAAACTCAAAAGCATGCTTTTAATGATTTTTTTATGTTTTCTTTTGTTTAAACTTGTTTGTTTAATTCAAACCTGCACTTTCATGAACTGATATTAAGGTTTAAGGTAAATGAAACTAAATCTATAAACCATGGAAGAGCTCAACTCTTTTGTGTTCCTACTTAATAGTATCATTGTTGGTTTTTGCTATCTCCCAGTATATATGATTTGCTTAAAAAAGTTTATTTGATGAAATGACAATCTTTTTGAAGTCTAAGAGAGATTTAAAGTATGTTCTTTGGTATTTGCAGTAATGGTGGTGCAAACAATTGCCTTCCATGCGGTTTGATGGTCAACTCATGTTTGACTTATGGAGAAAATCTTTCAAAGAGTTGGAGGTTGCTACTGCCATTCAATATTTGTTATGAAGGTACAACTTGGTACTTGATCAATATAAGTTATATTTGTGAACCTTTTTTATTTCAAATTGTTCAAATTTCTAGACACAAAATCTTGGCTGTGCCAGCAGGTCATCTTTTGGGGACTAGATAATAAGAGTTAAGGGAATGACTTTATTTAAAACTTCTTATGGATGTTCTCTTTATCTAGGGAATGATGGGGAAAATGATATTCACATATATGAAGGTTTTTACGTAGTTATGGTCCCAGAAAAGTGGGTTATCTAGTTGGGGACCTAGATAAATGATCCTACTGTTTTGGAATTTTTAAGTATATTCTTAGATGATTCAAATTGTGTATCATTTTTAATAAGCTTCAGTCTTAGGTGTAATTGTTATTTCTCTTTTGAGAATGAAAAATTCTGTAACTGGGTTTTTGAATTAGTTTTGTTTTTAAGGTTAAGCCTAATGGAGCAAACTAGATAATTGTCAACTTGAGTGGGTTAAGCCTCAATTTGGAAACCACTAGGTGAAAAAAGATTACTTACCCCCATAATTTGTACTCTGAAATTTCCAAGCCAGAACTTAAGGATTTGGCCAAGAATGAGGTTGAGGTGTCACCCAATTGAATTTGGTTCACATGTGATATGTTATGGACAAAAAGATGATCCAAGATATTTTGTCAGTAGATGCGCCAATTATCTATTTATTTGTTTTTTCCTCTTGTAGTTTTGCTGCTTTATTGCCAAATATCTGTTGTCTTGTATAAGCATGTTCCAAACCATTTATTCTGACAGCCCTCAAAGTGATGTAGTGGCTAAGACCCACCTTGCTCCCTTTGGTTCCCAACCCCTTATAACTGTTTGCATATGAGCAAGCAAAAGAAAACTTGTACTTTTGAGTCATGTCTGACTAAGAGGGCTATCCTGGTCATAGATGCTTAAGAATATCACTGTTCAAGTTTTGATGCTGCATTTTATTTTTGTCAAACAGTCGATGCAGCATTTGAAAACCTTTCCAAATGCTTTATTCCCAAATATCTTCGATATTTTTTTCATTTCTCTACTTCTGTGGATTGGCTGAAATAGTTTCATACTAAATGTTATGAAGGAAACAATTGAACTTTAAAAAAAAATTGTCAAACAAGTTTCTTTTTCCATGTTTTAAATATATGCTGCTGTAATTGATGATACATCAAGTTCTGTCATCTGTGGTATTGGAATTTTAGGTATAAACTGGAAAGAAAGGTTTGATAAGTTGATATATCAACGAACTTCCCTTTGTTTTTGGCTGAACAATATTTTTAGTAAATTTATTGGTCGTGAATTTCCACAAGATTTTCTGTCTGTTCATCAGCTCACCTTGTATTTCAGTATTTTCTTCTCTTCGTTATGCATCATCATGATGATATATTTCTGTGCTTTTACCAGATAGATTCAATGGCTTGGAGATGGCTAGGGTGTTATCAATTTTTATCACTGACTGTTTCTGCTTTGCAAAGGTGTAATCCACTGGATGGGGAAGGGAAGCAGGTTGCTGGATTGTTGTTTAAACTCATGTATGCAGCTTCTGAAACAAAGGAAATGATACATCTGAATATGTTTTGGCTGTTATTATACATTACAGAGAGCATCCTGGAACATGCCCACTAATGGCCTGCCTGTCATGCACCAGCTTTATAAATTATAAAGTTTTTGGGTGGCATAATCCTGCTCTTTGAATGAATATGTGATCAGTGACATGCTTTAAAAATTGAACCAAACAAGAGGTCTGATACCCCATAGAATAAGTGAAAGTTCTCATAAAAAAAAAAAAAAAAGAAACATGAAAGTGATGCTTCATGTGCTTGTCCTAATTAAGGTTTTGTTACTTGTTATAAAATAGCTTTTAATGAAATATTTTACTGAATATTCTTTAATTGCTTTAAAATAAAAAATATGATGATAAATTTATTTTAAAATTAAAATATTAATAATAAAAAATAAAAATTATAGTTAATTAAAAATTTTGTATTAAGAATTTGAATGGCTAAGGAAGCCCATTAAAACTTCCATTTGGGCCAGTAAGCCACTTAAAAAATGTTTTAAGAGCAAATGGCACTGATGAAGCCCATGTTAGCAGGCCTCCTCTTGGGCTGTTAACCAACCTATCAAAATAATGCATGTTTATTTCCATTAAAATTAAGTATTTTAACAATCTCAATAATAATAATAGTAAAAAAAGAATATGCCAGCCACGACGGCAACATTATGTTGACATCGGACATGGCAGCTTTAATCGATAACCGTTGGATGAAAGACCACTGAAATCCAACGGACAGAAGAAAAACCCTAAACTAGAATCAGAACCTTTTCTGCTATATGAAACTCCCTTTAAAACTTGACCTCTTTTCTCCTTTCCTCATTTCTCGTTCGTGCTTTTCATTACATTCCCCAGCCGCCTCTCTGCCTTTTCGTTTATTTGTAAAAGGTCAGAATTCCTTCTTCACTACTTCATCAGTATTACTACTTGCTTTGTATTTTTAATTCTTTTTGTAATTATGGTTTCTGTTTTTTTTTTTTTTTCTTTTTATTTTGGTAAATTGTTTGGATCTGGTGGTTTCTGAAACCCGATGTTATGCTTAAATCTTTTCAATCCAGATATCTTGGTCTTGTTTGATTTTGTTATGGGTTTCTCTTTTTTACGTTATTATTATGGAAATTGGAATGCATGTGATTTTGGACCATTTTTTATATTCTTAGGATTTGTTTCTCTGATTCAGAATGGGTAAGGAAAAGGTTCACATTAACATCGTGGTCATCGGCCATGTCGACTCGGGTAAGTCAACCACCACTGGACACTTGATCTACAAGCTTGGTGGAATCGACAAGCGTGTGATCGAGAGGTTCGAGAAAGAAGCTGCTGAGATGAACAAGAGGTCATTCAAGTATGCTTGGGTGCTTGACAAGCTCAAGGCCGAGCGTGAACGTGGTATCACCATTGATATCGCCTTGTGGAAGTTCGAGACTACTAAATACTACTGCACTGTGATTGATGCACCTGGCCACCGTGACTTTATCAAGAACATGATTACTGGTACCTCGCAGGCTGATTGTGCTGTTTTGATTATCGATTCCACCACTGGTGGTTTCGAGGCTGGTATTTCCAAGGACGGTCAGACTCGTGAGCATGCTTTGCTTGCCTTCACCCTTGGTGTCAAGCAAATGATTTGCTGTTGCAACAAGGTCAGATTTATTGCAACCTTATTGTTACCATGTGGTTGCATTAATTGTAAAATTTACTTAATTTTTGTTTGTTAATGTTTGTAGATGGATGCCACTACCCCCAAATACTCCAAGGCTAGGTATGATGAAATCGTGAAGGAAGTCTCTTCCTACTTGAAGAAGGTGGGTTACAACCCGGAGAAGATTCCATTTGTTCCTATTTCTGGTTTTGAGGGTGACAACATGATTGAGAGGTCTACCAACTTGGACTGGTACAAGGGCCCTACTCTTCTTGAGGCTCTTGACCAGATCAATGAGCCCAAGAGACCTACAGACAAGCCCCTTCGACTCCCTCTTCAGGACGTGTACAAGATTGGTGGTATTGGAACTGTCCCAGTAGGTCGGGTTGAAACCGGTGTCTTGAAGCCTGGTATGGTTGTGACCTTTGGTCCCTCTGGTCTGACCACTGAAGTTAAGTCTGTTGAGATGCATCATGAAGCTCTTCAGGAGGCTCTTCCTGGTGATAATGTTGGCTTCAATGTTAAGAATGTTGCTGTTAAGGATCTCAAGCGTGGCTACGTTGCTTCTAACTCCAAAGATGATCCTGCCAAGGAGGCTGCTAACTTCACCTCTCAGGTCATCATCATGAACCACCCAGGCCAGATCGGAAATGGATATGCCCCTGTCCTTGACTGTCACACATCCCACATTGCTGTCAAGTTTGCTGAGCTACTGACCAAGATTGATAGGCGATCTGGCAAGGAGCTTGAGAAGGAACCCAAGTTCTTGAAGAATGGTGATGCTGGTTTTGTGAAGATGATTCCCACCAAGCCCATGGTTGTGGAGACCTTCTCTGAGTACCCACCTTTGGGGCGTTTTGCTGTGAGGGACATGCGCCAGACTGTTGCTGTTGGTGTTATTAAGAGTGTCGAGAAGAAGGACCCATCTGGTGCCAAAGTCACCAAGTCTGCAGCAAAGAAGGGTGGAAAGTGAACAATGCAACAGCTCTATGGTTTTACCGTTTGTGCAGATGGACTATTCAATTGTGGTGGTTGTTATTTGTAGCTTCTTGCCTTCTCATTTTGAGTAGCAATTCTCAGAATTTGGTGCTTGATAGGCGGTGGCAGTCATTGTAGCTTTTTCGTTTTACCTGTTTTGTGGAGTATTTAAAGTGGAGGTGCATTGGTTTGCCAAGGCATCTTAGAATTTTGTGTCTGATTTTGCTAAACTATCTTCTGCTACATTTTCTCTGTTTCTGTTCCTATAATTATAATCATGTTCAATTTTTGCTTTAATTGCCTTGATATAAACAGGGTCTTATCTTTTTCTACTTCTCGTGTGAGTAAGCCGTAGGAAGAAAATTCTTTAGCGTTCTATGGGTCAATTCGTAAAATGAAACCGTTCAAAGCAATCCATGATTCAAGCGCAAACTGGCTTCAATTATGTAAACCTCAGGTGATTATAACTCAAAACGATTAAACTTGAAAATAATCCAAGTGACTTGAATAATAAACCTCAAGTGATTTTAACGACTAATTCAAAATTACTCAACATTCAGTGTAAAAGTGCTCACAAATGCAGATCATTGCCATGGCCACAAGATTGGTCTTTCATCTAGCTAGCAATATCCAGAAATGACATAAAAACATCATATTCTTGACAAAAACCAGTACAGCCCAGAAGACCATGTATAAGTTTGCTGTCTCTGAAATTTATGCATCCCATTGTGAACAACGATCCGTGCACTGTTTCTGCTCAGCATTTCATCTCTCCATTGGATGATTATATATTGATCAACAATCCAAGAACACAACGAATTACAGTAGAGTGATATTAAGTATTAACAAAAGATTCTACTAGAATGGGGGAATGATAGAGAAATTCGGAAGCGGGATAAATATACTTGCAAATGCCTCTTCTAGTTTTATTCCTTGATAAAATGCTCCTCGGATTTTGTACCCATACTTTTGCACCAAAATAGGAAGCATAACTAAGAGATTTTGTGGAGTATAGCTTCTGAAGTCGTCAATCTTGTCAAACTATTAGCTGTGCATTTTACATCAAATTTTGGTTTCATACAAGCAGCTTTACACTCAAAAAATTTTTGTCTCCTTTTTCTTTCCTCATCATCATTCTTAACCAGTATAAGAGATTTAAGGCAAATATTTGATGGAACAGCGAAGCATAATGAAGAGACCTTGGTGCTTACCTTTCAAATGATCACAACTCCTAATCACTGTCTGGTTGTGCTTTTTCTGCAGCCTTTTCTGATTCTTCCAAAGCATATGTTTTTAGCGATTCATCATCCCTTGGCCCTGGTCTTTGCATAACATGCGGGGGGGAAATAATTCAATACCAAAAATAGTTCCAAAATTGTCTTTTGAAATCTTTATTAGCTGAAGCTTCTTATTATGCCTAGACTTCAAACCCAAATATATCTTTTGGTGTAAGCGAAAACAACTATACTGTGGCATGTAACAAAATCAGATCAATTAGAAATAATTAGATTTATTCTACTTAGCAGTGTTTTAGACTTGTATTCAGTTCGAGTCGAGTCAAAATGCTCAAAAAGGAAAAGAGAAATCTAGTAGTTTCAAAATTTAAAATTAGGCTTCTTTGAATGCCATATGCAATGATAACAGTATCTAATACCATGTTAAATAGCCTTTACAAAGATTAGCCAAGCGGCCAAAAGGCCCAAAAAGCTAAGTAATTTGCCTACTGCAAGCTAGCTCTACATTGTCGGTGGCTATAAAGGAGAAATGTGTTAGGAAAATGGGTCCAGTCTCATGTAGGTGGTTTTGGATCAAGTAAAGGTCATAAGTCTTAATCTTTTATTTTACACAAAGCTCTAGCTACTTAATAAAAAAGAGGTGAGGTTGTTTTAGGTGTGTGTCGAAAACCAAGCAGAGAAAGAAGAAAAGCCAGAAAAAGCAGAGAGAGAAAAAGAAGAAGGGAGAGTTGATTGAACGAAAGTCGATCCGTGGTCCGATTGAGTTGGAACCTTGTCAGGAAGTTTATGATTCAGAGTTCTACATTCTGAAAGGTGAAGATCGGGTTTGAAGCTCTCTAGGAACAAATCCATGATGTATTTGTTGAGTCACTTATTTGGTGAGATTTCTCCAATTGTTTCTCTAGTTGTTGATTAGCTCTAGTTTTAGCTAGAGAAGAACTTTGTATAACTATTATTTGATAGTGAAAATTTTTTTGGTGGCCCGTAGTTTTTTCCCTCTACACTGGAGGGTTTTCCACGTAAATCTTGGTATGCTTTATTTTTTCTACGTATTTGATTATTGATTGTTGTCTATTGCTTCTGTATTGTTGTGATTATTGCTTCAAGCGCAACAAGTGGTATCAGAGCGAGGGTTATTTTGAGACATCGATACAGAAGCAACTCAGGATAGAAATAAATTATGTTTGGGATCATGGAGGGTGATACAAGTTTCATGATAAAATTGATAGCATCGAATTATTCAATTTGAAAGCCTATGATGGAGGATCATCTATACTGCAAAGATTTGTATGAGTTAGTATTGGGTGATTCGGCTAAACCAACAGATATGAAAGATGAAAGCTGAAAGAAGCTAGGTAGAAAGACGCTGGCTACAATCAGAAAATGGGTTGATATCAGCGTGTTCCATCATGTAACGCAGGAGTCAGATGCTCACATTGTTTGAAAAAAATTGACAGCATTGTATGAGAGAAAAATAGGTATGAATAAAGTTATGCTTGTTAAAAAACTTGCAACTTTACAGTACAGGGATGGACGATCTGTTACAGAGCACTTGAGTGATTTTCAAGATATATTTAATCGGATGACTACTATAGAGCTTAAAATGGATGATGAAATGAAGGCATTATTTTTTTTGGGTTCATTGCCAAACAGCTGAAATACTCTAATTGTGACTGTTCTTAATTCAGCTCCTGATTATAAGGTGACATTGGAGATGGCAAAAGACAACATGCTTAATGAAGAAGCAAGGCGAAAAAATGTAGACCCTGAGAATCAAGCTCTAGTTACAGAGAACATGGGTAGAAACATCGATAAAGGTCAGGACCCAAAGGCCGTGGTAAGTTTAAACATAGATCCAAGTCTAGAGGTAAAGTGAAGTGTTTCTATTGTGGTAAGGCAGGTCATATAAAACGAAACTGTAAAATCTTGAAGCAAGAGCGAAAAGATGAGAAAGGCAAGAGTTCAGATGATGATAATGTTGTAGCAGTGAATTCAGATAGTGATTCAGTTACTTTGATTTGTACACATGGTGATTGTAATCATGTTAGTGATCCCGACATTGAGTAGATAGTTGACACAGGAGTGGCATATCATTGTGTTCCTAAGAGAGAGCTGTTTACAACTTACAAAGCAGGAGACTTTGGTTATACCAAAATAAAAAATAAGAGTGTGTCACAGATTGTTGGGATTAGTGATATTATTGTACAAACTGGTACAGGCTGCATGTTAACTTTGAGGGATGTCAGACACATTTCAAATATGAGAATGAACTTGCTTGCTATTAATGTCCTTGATAAGGAGGAATATGAAAACCGACAAAAGAATGGACAGTGGAAGCTTCTCAAAGGATCTATGGTAGTTGCAAGGAAAAAACTATGCTGTACAATGTATAAGACATGGATGCAATTGAACGGTAACCAGGTAAATACCGTTGAAAATGATGTTTCAGTAAACTTGTGGCACAGGAGGCTGGCACACATGAGTGAAAAAGGGTTATAGGTTTTGGCAAGGTAGTCTCTCATTCCCTTGACCAAAGGTATGTCTCTCGATTCATGTGATTATTGTTTGTTTGGTAAGCATCATAGAGTTTCTTTTCGTAAAAGTTCTCAGAGAAAAGAAAATAGATTGGAATTAATTTATTCTGACGTATGTGGTCCTATTGAGGTTGAGTCATTAGGTGATAGCAGATATTTTGTTACTTTTATTGATGATGCTTTACGTAAGACTTGGGTGTATATATTGAAATACAAAAGTCAGGTATTGTAGTATTTTCAAAAATTTCATGTCATGGTTGAAAGGATGATGGGTTACCCTTGAAGTGTATTCGAACTGATAATGGTGGAGAATACACATCTAAAGGCTTTAAAAAGTATTGCTCAAAGCATGAGATCAGGCATGAGAGGACAGAGCTTGTAACACCGCAGCATAATGGTATAGTTGAAAGAATAAATCGCACCATTATGAAAAAAGTCAGATGTATGTTAAGGATGGTAAAATTACCAAAGCCATTCTAGGGTGAAGCAGTCAACACAGCTTGTTATTTACTTAACAGGTCACCATCAGTTTCTTTAGGCTTTGACATTCCAGAAAAAATATGGATAGGGAAAGATACTTCATACTCTCACTTAAAAGTTTTTGGGTGTAAAGCATTCATGCATGTGCCGAAAGAGCAGAGATCAAAGCTTGACAGTAAAGCTACACAGTGTGTGTTTGTAGGATATGGTGATGAAAAATTTGACTACAGGGTATGGGATCCAGTAAAGAGAAAGACAGTCAAAAGCAGGGATGTGGTTTTTCATGAAAAAGAAAACATAGCAGACTTTAAGAAAAATGAGAAGACTATACAGGTTATTGTTGAGTGTGATGTTTCAACACCGACAAGAATTTCATAGGAAAGAGCCACAGATGGTGAAAATGAGCAAAAAATAGAACTTGGAGAAATGAATGAGCCAGCTACAGTTGGTGATGAGCCAGATGCTATTAGTTTTGAGCAATGAGAGCAATCCTCTCTACCTGAGAGTGTTGAGTAGGGAGAGCTACCTTCGGCATCAAGTAATGTAGAGTCTCAGCCCAGGAGATCTACTAGAGAGTGCAAGCCATCTACCAGGTATCCAAGTTTAAATTTTATTTTAGTTACCAGTGAAGGGGAGCCAGAAAACTTTCAAGATGTGCAGGCTATTTCGGATAGAAAGCACTGGTTAAAAGCAATGAAAGAAGAGATGGAGTCATTGCGAAAGAATGGTACTTATGATCTTATTAAACTTTCAACAGGGAAAAGGCCATTAAAAAATAAATGGGTGTTCAAGTTGAAAAAGGATGGTGACAAACTAGTGAGGTACAAAGCTAGATTGGTAGTAAAAGGTTTTTCTCAGAAACCAGGTATCGATTTTGATGAGATTTTTGCTCCAGTTGTAAAAATGAGTTCTATTCGAGTGGTACTAGGATTGACAGCTAGTTTGAATCTTGAACTTGAGCAACTTGATGTTAAAACTGCATTTTTGCATGGTGATTTGTAGGAGGACATTTATATGAATCAGCCTGAGGGTTTTGAAGTGAAAGAGAAAGAGCACTTAGTTTACAAATTGAAGAAAAGCTTGTATGGCTTGAAACAAGCTCCGTGACAGTGGTACAAGAAGTTGATTCTTTTATGGTGAGTCATAGCTATAAAAGAACAGCAACGGATTCTTGTGCGTATGTTAAACAATTTTTTAATGGTAACTTCATTATCCTATTATTATATGTTAATAATATGTTGATTGTAGGATAAGATGCTAGTATGGTTTGCAGGTTGAAAGAACAATTATCTAAGTCCTTTGATATGAAGGATTTAGGTTCAGCAAAGCAGATTATTGGTATGGATATTATCCGAGATAGGAGAGCTGAAAAACTGTGGTTGTCACAGGAAAAGTATGTTGAACGAGTGCTTGGTAGATTCAACATGCAATATGCTAAATCAGTTAGCAGTTCACTTGCCAACCATTTTCATCTAAGTAAAAAATCTTGTCCAGTGTCTAAGGAAGAGCAACTAGCTATGTCTAGTATTTCTTATTCTTCTGCAGTCGATTCTTTAATGTATCTTATGGTTTGTACAAGGCCTGACATTGCTCATGCAGTTGGTGTAGTGAGCAGATTTTTTTCTAATCCAGGAAAGGTTCACTGGGAAGCAATGAAATAAATTTTTAGATATTTGAGAGGTACCTAAAAAATGTGTTTGACTTATGGAGTTTCACAACCAGTTCTAAAAGGGTTTACTGATGCTGACATAGTAGGCGATCTTGATGGTAGGAAATCTACTTCAAGGTATTTATTCACTTTTGCAGGAGGAGCTGTATCTTGGCAATCTAAGTTACAGAAGTGTGTTGCTTTGTCAACTACAGAGGCTGAGTATATTGCAGCAACCGAAGCATGTAAAGAAATGCTTTGGATGAAACGTTTTCTTTTTGAATTGGAGTTGAATCAGAAAGAGTATGTGATATTTTGTGATAACCAGAATGCTTTAGATTTGAGTAAGAATACCATGTACTATGCTAGAACAAAGCACATTGATGTTAGATATCATTGGTTACGTTCAGTGATTGAAGAACAACAAATGTTATTGAAGAAAGTTCATACTGATAAGAATGTAGTAGATATGTTGACTAAGATACTTCCCAGGAAAAAGCTTGAGCTTTGCAGTAACTTGGTCGGAATGAGTTTCCTGGCCAAGGTAAGTTCTAAATGAAACTGCTATGGTGATGAATCTCCTCCTAATGAGGCTGGAGGGGGAGATTGTTAAGAAAATGGGGTCCAGTCCCATGTAAGTGATTTTTGACCAAGTAAAGGCCATGGGCCTTGATCTTTTATTTTACACAAAGCCCTAGCTACTTAATAAAAAAGAGGTGGGATTGTTTTAGGTGTGTGTCGAAAACCAAGCAGAGAAAGAAGAAAAGTCAGGAAAAGTAGAGAGAGAGAAAAAAAAAGAAGAGTTGATTGAACGGAAGTCGATCCGTGATCCGATTGAGTTGGAACCTTGTCAGGAGGTTTATGATTCAGAGTTCTACATTTTGAACGGTGAAGATCGGGTTTGAAACTCTCTAGAAACAAATCCAGGGTGTATTTGTTGAGTCACTTATTTGGTGAGATTTCTCCAATTGTTTTTCTAGTTGTTGATTAGCTCTAGTTTTAGCTAGAGAAGAACTTTGTATAACTATTATTTGATAGTGAAAATTTTTCTGGTAGCCCGTGATTTTTTTCCTCTACACTGGAGGGTTTTCCACGTAAATCTTGGTGTGCTTTATTTTTCCTGCGTATTTGATTATTGATTGTTGTCTATTGCTTTTGTATTGTTGTGATTATTGCTTCAGGCGCAACAAAATGTCCACTTAAAATAAGTTGAGGAATATAAAATGAAGTGTAACTTGTAAAGTTTATGAAATTTCAAATCTGATTTATTTTCTATTTAAGGAATCTCACAGATAGCTTAAAAGGCTCTCCCTATGCACGTTAGCCACCCTAGGTTCCTTCTACTTTGTTTAAATAGAGTAGCCTCAGTATCTGCATTTTATTTACTGATCTTTGGAATTTACTGCACAAGAAGTGGTTTATGTGATTTTAAGAGAACCAAACAGACTTGTCCATCTCAAGAAGCTATTGAGGCATATTCCAGGACAATGCCAGCCTCTGAAACATATGGATATGGACAAAGGATCCAGAACAATTGACAAGAATCATACTAGATACATGAAGCATAGGATACAACTATCTTATAGAAGAATTCAGGCCACATAGTTATGCCGCAGATAAAGTAGTCCGATAACATAGAGAATACATCTCTTTGAAAGGTTTTACTCAACTGAGCCCTCTTTGCTTCTACCATGAGTATACTGTACACTAATAACATTCATGGCCTATTTTCTTTGTTTGATTGAGAGCCCAATCGGGGTCCCAAAAGCTTTCCATCCCCTATTGAGTTGAAGTAACTAACTGTAAAGGGCCTTAATTACCTTTTGCTTTGAATGAAAATGTTAACCCTTTGCACCAAAATTATATACAACACCACAAATACTCCATAAAGAACATCCAGATTTTGAGGTTGAAATTCACAGTTTGAGTAAAAGAGAATATTAAAACACAAAGAGGTGAAATAAAAATGTTAAATTGATATTTAGTAACTTCTTCACCATCATAGAAGAACTTAAACGTGGGATACGAATGAAAATCTAGTTTAGTGCAAATGTTACAGACCTAAAGGGGAGTCCTAAATCCCACATCGAACATAATAGGAGGGTCACTGGGGTATAAAAGGGTTCACACCATCTTTTCCTTGTGAGGCGCCTTTTGTGAGACAAAACCGTAAGGCCAGGGGAGTCAGAACGAACAATACCTCACAAGGGTGTGAATTGTGGCGGTCATGCTGATCTGGGATGTCGGAAGGGTGAATGCCTGAGTCCCGGAGCCACGCGGGTTCGGAGCTTAAGTCTCGATCCGTGACAAGTGGTATCAGAGCTAGCCTTATACCGTTCGATCCACGCCAAGCATCTCGAGGGTGGCCAGCCTCCGTGACGAGGGCGTCACGAGGTTGGGTGCAGGAGAATGTCACGGACCTAAGGGGGAGTCCTGAGGGTTACTGGTGTATAAAAGGGTTCACACTATCTCTTCCTTGTGAGGTACCTTTTGTAAGACAAAACCGTGAGGTTAAGGGAGTGAGAGCGGACAATACCTCACAAGGGTGTGAACTGTGACGGTCAGATTGATCTGAGATGCCGAAATGATGAATGCCCGAATCTCAAAACCATGCGAGTTCAGAGCTTAAGTCTCGACCCGTGACACAAACAGATTCCTAAGTCATCCCACAATGTCCCAAGTACTTACTCTAAAACCCATTGTTATTGTAGTCCCAAGTAAGCAAATTACAATGGCAGATAGCTCTATCATCAGGTCAAGCTAACTCGAAAAAATGCATTAAACCAAGCAGAAAACAGTTACCAATGTTCACACCAAGGAACACAAAATTTCACAAACCACGCCGTGTCTTTCTCCCTTACCTGAAAAGAACAAAACAACGACTTCGATAACAGACATGATTCAAGTAAAAGAATTTGTGACATTGGACTACTGAAATCAAGAAAAGAAGAAAAAGTGGGAGAAGTGCAAAATGATGGTCGTTTTTCATGTGAAATTTTTTTTCTTTCTTTGTTTCTTTTCGAATAGAATCGAAAAGCGGACGAAGATGTCATACGTTCTGATTCGGGACTGCTCAGATTGCTTCTTGAACCGGTTTCAGACCAACGATTCATCCAAGGTTAGTAACGAAAGGGAAGCTACATGGCATGTGCTTTTCACGTGATGTTATTCTTTCTTTTCTTCTTTTTTACCAAAATGACATTTTTCTGTTTGCTTTTATTATTTCCTTGCCTTTTTTTTTTTTTTGCATTTTCAATTCATGTTTTCTTTTACTAAAACCGATAGCATTTTTGTGTATGTAGCAAGCTCCTTTGATTTCTTAAATTAAAAATCGAAATCAAACTGCAAAAACTAAAGCAACTACCGCATTAGGCGGGCGGTTGTTCGTTCCCAACGGTCATTTCACCGGAAAAAACTCATCACATCGAGAAATGACTGAGTCACCTCAAAACAACACTCCTCCAAATCCAGACTCTCAAGAAGTAACCGTTCCCATTATCCCAATCGAGTTCGTGAGTGAAGAAGAGATGGCTCTCATCGAAGCAGCCTATGCAGCATCTCGTTCCTCCCTCTCCTCCTCCTCCTCCTCGATTTCTTCTTCGATTTGTTCCCCTTCTCGCTTTCAAAGCAAGACGAAGACAATCCAGTCGATTACCCTCTTGTCTAAACGATGCTTAAGTGGTTCTACTGTGCTGGATATAGAGGATTCCGGCAATTTAACAAGTACCCAGAAGAGGAGTAGAGTCGCTCAACCCTTTTTGCATCGGTTTAGAAGGAAAAGGGGGCTGTCGGTTACTGATATTACTGCCACGGTATGCAAAATTTTTTCTTTCTCAAGGCTTTTTGATTATGGGTTTAGTTTTTTTTTTTTTTTTTTGATTATGGGTTTAGTTTTCTTTCAAACTTTAATTTGCATTTGAATACAAACCTTCATAGGAATGGTGTGAAAAGCAAATGGAATTTGTACTTCTCTTTGGCAACCGAAAAATCAATAAAGCTATGAAAGCTGGTCAGGCTCGCCATGTGAAACTTGAAGAAGAGGTACTCTTTCACGCTCCAGAATTTTAAAAATTCCTTTAAATATGACTGCTTTTTACGTATTGTGTGGCCTATTTCATCGGTCTTAGTTAGGTTCTTTATCAGTTTATGCATTCAAATTCACCTTCATATTCTCAAACATAGGCAAAATTTTCCCTTTGATTCAATAGAAGATGAGATTGTTTTCCTTATGTTGTGCATTGTATGTCCCATGTTCTCTTTGCATCAAACTGGTTTCTTCTCAAATTAAATAACACAATTGTGTTGAATGAAATTCTTCTGAGCATGTGACGCTTGCACATGGAACAGAAATTACTTTCAAGACTAAATCACCTTGCACATTCCAAAGTTGTTTCTTTCATGCATTTCTGTAATCTTCTCATAGACTTCAGTGTCAACTTCTTTTTCATTTTGGCACACCTAATTTTAATTATTTGACATTTATTGTGTTTCTTTGCAGGTTGTTAACAAGGTAGAAGTTTGTGTTCAATCAGTTGAAGATACCTGGGCAGTAAAGTTTATTAACTTCATAACTGGTGCAAATCAATTATTGTTTGAAGGACTAACACGTGAGCTACCGCTGTAAGTTCAACTGTTTATTGTTATCTCCAAAATCAAAATCCATCTCCGGCTCCTCTTGGTTACAATAACTCTCAGCCACCATGTGGCAATCAGTTGTATAATTTATTGTGCATGAAAGAGTAACGGATTGTGATTGAGCTTTAAGTTATGACACCTTTCATGTGGTTGTTAGATCCATATTTCAAGATTGTCATTTCTTGATTAGTGGGTTTTTTTCTTAGGCATGTACCAATTGGCAATCCGGAAACCTCTGTCAAACTCAGATTATATATCAGAATAGCAATTTTAATGAAGTTTGGCTACTGGTTATGTTTTAATTACTTTCCTGCATTTAAACCTTCAGGATAGTTTTTTCATTTCCCAAATAATGCTTCAGGATTTAATGAAATTGGTGTGGAAATGAAGCAATGAAATCAGAAGTTTACTAAATTCAATTTTTGAAATTGGCATAGAAATGGTGCTGATGAAATGTTTAAGTATGCTTTTGTTTAGTCTGTCAAAAGAAAAGCATGCTTTTGTTTATTAAAGTTTTTGTTGTTGAAAATTTTGGTTAAAATGATGTGTAAAATAATGGTTTGTTAACGTGTTTTAGGTCAGTGGTAGTTGTTTAATTTGTCCTTCAAGTAATTCTTCCCCCCTTTAATGTAAATTAGAGATTGATTTTCATTTTAATTTTCCTGCTTATGGACTGTGTTGCTTATATAACACCAGAATAGGCTTTGTGGAAGGTGTATGCTTGGTAGGGGTTATTGATGAGATCCAAATGCCTGCAAAAGGAAGTGATAGAAGGCCAATATTAATAGACACAAAGACTCGTGCACAAGACTCTCTTCCTGCCGAACCACAAAGGAGAAATGGAAGGCATGCATATTTTCTGGCTTCTGTTTTAATGCCATTATGATGAAGATTTGCCATATAATGCATCCAAATCTTTCTAATTACCGGCTCTAGCTCTTTTATTCACTTTATATTGGTTGTACCAAATGTGGCAAGATTTAATGAATCTAACTTATTTTTTCTTGGCAGGCTTCAATTAATGTGCTATAAGAATTTGTGGGACACCTTGGTTGCCGATAGCTTCCCTTCCAGACAGTTTTTCAATCTCTTTTCATTGGACCCTAGCTATATATTATCTGAAGACATCATAGAGAAAACTACTAATTCAGGTTTTCCAGCTAAGGTAACCTTGTATATATTCTTTTTTATTTATTTGTTCCATTCGATCTGCAACAGTCAGGGTATTTAGAGCATGTGTTGCAACATCACTTTTATTCCGAAAACCATATAATACTGGTGAGGATGGGTTATCTGCCGCCTATCAAATAAATCTCGCAATTTTGTGCATCATGGTGAGGGGTGAAACATAGAGTTTAGAGTACCAAGATAACTTATGTACCTTTAAGGCTTCAAGTCTGACTCAGATAGTTGTTTTTTCCCCTACAATTGCTGTGCAGACACTTGATGACGTAGTTGGATATTACAGAAATACATGTCTGACTCAGATAGTTGTTTTTTCCCCTACAATTGCTGTGCAGACACTTGATGACGTAGTTGGATATTACAGAAATACATGTAACATGCTTCCTGTGACTCATAACCAGCTAATATTGAGGTGGGTGAAAATTTGTCCTAGAGACTCTGTTAGTATTTTTTTTGCTTACTTTTGATAGTTGAATATTATGGTGGGAACTTTTTATGATAAGTCATATTAGTCAACTTTTTATGGTGGGAACTCAATTGTATTTATCATAAAATACACAGCTGATTTCGAATGAGAAAAACAAAGAAGGAATGATGATATTGATAAGCCATTTTAATGAACTTGTTATCCTGGGAACTTAAATACACTTATTATAGAATATACTTTAGATCATACTTGATGCATGAGGAACATTTAATTGTAGTATCATGCGAGTTCTTTCACCAACCTGCATTATCTGGTTGCTTTGAAGCAGATATGAACTACAAAAAGATCAGTCAGTGCTTGGTGAAGATCAATTTGCATATGATCCTGACTGGCTCAAGAGGCAAATTCAAGGCAGTCTTGAATTCTGGTTGGGTGAGCGAGAAGCTAGTTACACCCCTGAGGAAGAGCGCTGGAAGTGCAGGCATTGTCAGTTTGCTTCAATTTGCCCCGGAAACCCCTTCAAGCTAGAGAAAGAACACTGACCTTCCTCTATGATAATTTTTCAGAGTATTTGTCTTCTGCAAGAGAAGCACAGTTTCTATAGATGCTTCTTTGTGCAATTTTTGTTTGAACTGCAACATTCCTAGATTTGCTGTAGAACTTTAGTATTTGCTAAAATGCATCTGTTGTAGCGTTGTAGGCCTTGGTGAATAACTGTTGTAAAGTGAATTATTACTATTATTTATTAATTATCATTTTTTAAGTGAAGTTTAAGTCTTTAGAATATAAAACAGTTAGTAGTGTTTATATAATATTTGGCTCTTATATTATAAGAAATTGCCTACTATGATATCTATAATTTCAAAAACGCGCAATGTGATGTCTCTAATATCAATTCGTATATCAATGTAGTTTATTCTCGTAACATTGTTAACTCTAAACGATGACATGAATTATGAACATTAAAAAAGTCACACGGGATATGTTATTTAAAAAAAAAAAAAAAAAATGTGGTTGCCTCGTGAAGTCATGTAACAAATGACGTAGAATATTTATGCCATGTTATTTTTTGATCTAGTCCATGTCATGGTTCATAGCTGACGGTGTTAGAAAAATGATCTACATTGATACATGAATCGGTACTACATATTATTGCATTGCACAATTTTAAAATACAAATGCCACATTAGACAATTTCCTATAAGCAAACATGATATTAACCCTTTTTAAACAATACTGCTGGATAATGGTAATATGGCATGTAACTTGGTTTAGCGTTTTCATACCATGCAATGCTGGGAAAAGGCTAATCAAACGTTCCACACTCAGCAGCCCACCGCCCAATCGCCACATCTGATTCTAATAAAAACTCGAGTTCTTCGCAGCCCAGATTCTTAAACTCAAGGTATCTCAATTATATAATGCTAACGTTCAGTTTAATAGTGTAAAAGATTTTATTACTGCCTCCTCGGCTGGAGTAGTATTACTAGATTTCATAGGACAGGAAACGAGCTCGCAGTTAAAATGTTTGTTGAAATGCCACACAGACAATTTTAAGAGTTTGTTCCTTCAATTTTGAACTATGTTTACGAGGATGTTTGTCAAGAGTACTTTTTTAGCAAATGGGTCTTCGTTGAGATACGTGTCGTCGTCATCAACATCAAGTGTACTTAAAATTGGAGATGTTTTAAGACATAAAAGAATATTTTCAAATGAAGATGTTGGTGAGTATTCTAAAGTGAGCCATGATGCAAATCCTCTGCACTTTGATTCTGAATCTGCTCGAGCTGCCGGATTCGAAGATCGGCTTGTACATGGCATGCTTGTTGCTTCATTGTTTCCCCGGATTATTTCCTCCCACTTTGTAAGTCGCTTCACCTTCCCTCGACTTTTTTAATTTTTAGCGAACTCAATGTTTAGTCTGTTATGGAAGGCGCATGTAACTCCGAATTAAAATAAACAACGATTGATAAAAAAGGTTTCTTCACTCACTGATTTTTCTGTCTGATAAAATGCTAGTGAAAAAACAACCTTGATCAAGATTTTACTTAAAGTGAAAATACACTTTGTTGCATGTGTACGAATCTGCTGGGTAATTTCTCATGAATTTGTTCAGACAGTCAGACTTGACGTAGGTAAATTTATTTGAATCGGCCTGGAGAGAGGATGTACTGGGTCTGGACCAAGTCTAGGAATCCCTTGCCGCTTAAAAAGATACTAGGAAAAAATCACTCGCCCTACTGCCCTGGAGGATTAATTTATAACTTTATCAAAATATGAAAGAAATTCTTGAAGCTGGGACATGGGTTCTAACTACTAAGGCTTATATCTCTAGTTTGTTTAGCACTTTTAAGTGTAAAATTGGAATGAAGTTGATAGAAAGATGTGTTTACCTTTTAGTTTATATTCCCTTTAGAAGCTCCTTATTTCAGTAAAAGTTAATATGCAAATGAAGTTTGTCTAACTTTTTGAGTATTCGGAATGATTTAGCCTGGAGCTATATATGTTTCCCAAAGCTTGCACTTCAGGTCACCAGTTTACATTGGAGATGAAATTGCAGCCGAGGTACAAGCTATTAATATAAAAGAAAACAAGAAGAGACACATGTAAGTTGCATACCATCAATTAGTTTCAAATTCCATAGAAGTAATTAAACAAGAGTTTGGAGTGTTGGACTTGAGCTTTCGTTTATTACATGTTCAGAGCAAAATTCTCAACAAAATGCTTCAAGAATGGTGATCTTCTTGTTCTTGATGGTGTGGCCATGGCGATTTTACCAACTTTAGCTGTAGAACAAGTGCATTGCCATGACAGGAGAAGTTGATGTAAAGTTGAAGTCATGGATTTATTACAATTTGATTAATCACATTGCACTTGCGCCATGCTTTTCATATTTGCTGAACCCTTTCAAGGAAATTACATGATTTGATTTTGTATTGACTTTGTTTCGTTTTCTTGTCTTGACTATTTCTGCAATAATTTTCTTGACATTGTTGATTTGTTTCTTTTTTTCTTTTTTTTTTTCTTAATTTTGAATCTTAATATTATTGAACAGTAAAATCCCTTCTTTTAGGAATTTAACCCCGAAGGTTGTTGAAATGCTATGGTTTGGAAAATACGTCTTCTAACTACATGTAGATTTATTTAAAAATTCGTTGCATTTGTACTCTCAATTTTGAATTTTAATCGTTGTTTTCTTTTTTTTGTTTTTATACCTAAATTCATGTTTTGCTTCTTAATTTCAAAAATAAAAAACATATATAATTGATAAAATTAAGTAATAGCCAAATAATTGATAAAATTGGCAGCCATTAACCTTATGCTGCCAACCCCTGCCTCTCCTTTAATCCTTCTAAACAAATGCAGCTCCAAATGTCCGTCCACCGTGGCTTTCGCCTTCGTTCAATCATCGCCCAGCCTCTCAGTATCATCATCATCTGCATATTTCTCTGTCGCCTGGCCACAGCCAATACCCAAAAAGTTATCTACATGGAAATTTTTTCGTTATCAGGTGCAGTCATAGCCACTTCTTGGATCATTCAGCTTTCTGTTGCAACAACAATCATTTTCTTATACGGGATCAAATATTATGATCTTTCAAGCCTTTCTTATACAAGATCAAATGTTATGATCTTACATGGCTTGTCGGTTTCGAGGAGAGTTCTTGTTGCCAAGGTTCAAGGGCAGTTGTTATTAACAACCAGCTTTGGGTTGCTGATGGCAATGCACAAGGAAGAGTTGATGGACATGGCGGTATAAAAGTTAGTAATGGTTTAGGAATGCAGTTGCTCGTTGATGGAAGAAATGACCCTCGCTTACAGCGAAGCAGAACTGTTTAACTGCAAACTACTGTATTACATTTTCTAGTTCCTGATGCTTTGCTTTGTTTTTTTATCTGGTCTGAAATTTCCACTGGTCGTTCCATCTAATAAGAATCACAAGAATTTTTTTCAAGTAGAAAAAAGTTAAATCAATGCGAAAAATGTGCAAGGGATACAAAAAAGTGATTGATCTAGATCTTGATTGGATCAGATGTTGATGCCTTCCATCACAAGTAACAAGGTAAAGTTAACAACATGATTCCAATCAGCTTCAGCCGGTATTTTGTTATGTTGGTGCATGTATGACATACATCATAACAGGCATTTTAGAGACTCATACTCTGATACAAGCAATCGACCATAAATGATCTCAAAGCAGCTTCGATGATTAATGCATACCACTTCCCTTCCCTTTACCGTATGGCACAATTTACTTCATTACAACAGTTTTCCATCTTTCTACTTTTCTTCCCTGCAAACATAGCCTCACGGAAGATATTAACAGTAGAAAAAAAACAGGAAAATTCCCAAATGCACCATGCATAGTCGAAACTAGTTTGTTTTGCAGTATTAGAAGTCACTCCAGTTTCTCATAAATTTAAACTGTGGTCACAGCTTGTTGCAAAAATTTTAAACAGCAGTTTAAGAAACTGAGGCAAAAAGAAGCCCTTGGTGTCAATTGATCGTTCCACACAATCACGAGAATAAACTACAGTTTGCAGATTAAATTGAGAGCAAGTAATGCGAATCAGAACAAATCACCTATTCTTGATTATTTTTTTTGTAGCCAACATCCATAAAGTTTCTCAATCCGACTGACAAAACAAAAATTAGAAAATTTATTCTTTTAACTTTTTTACCACAAGGAATAGAATGAGCCTATATTATATACACCTACGTCAAACCTATTATTTATAGAAATTTTGATATCTCAATCTGTCTTAAGATCACCCTCAGTTACCTCTTCTTCTTGCACTTCCATATCATCAAATGAAGTTTGTTCTACTTCCATGGTATTACTGAGAGGGCCGTGTGGAGTTCCAAAAAGTGTGGTAAATATCTGTCTATGGCATTCATCACAAAAATAGAAATACGTAAAATGACCCTCGTACGGGAGTTTATGCACAGCAGCCCCTGGGAGAACCCTATGAACAAAATCAGTCATCGAAGGTGGGACCACTTTGTCATCCATCCCCTGTATAACACCAGAAAATTCAACAAATAAAATTAATAAAAAGGAAGCTCAATTAAATTGCCTTGATACAGATTCAATAACCAAATTAAAATAATAATCCATGAGTTGTTCTGCTGTCAAACTACAAATGAAACCTTAGCTTATAGGTTGCAAGGACTTTAGAATTCATCCAATTTTAGGTATAAAAAATGTGCATCTTGGGCATTTAAAAACAAAATTTTGTTTCACCAATGATCTTATATGCCTGGGGCACTTCTTTCAAAAAGAAAGTTTGATGTACAGACTTTGAGTACTCTATGTATTGGGAATGGCATGGGTTGAGCAATACCTGAAGACTAGCATTTTAGGTTTCTACGAGGAGGGTTCTTTTTAACAAAACCCGGCAAATAGGTTTTGAAAAAATGTTGTTACAACAAATTATATTAGCATGACTGCATGAATCCAAGATGCAAAGCAAGTTAACTATGATAATCATTTGGACGTAAATTAACCAAAGAAACAAAGGGAAAAAGAGAACTTTTAAAGGAAATAATTTCACAGCTATCACATTCACAGTAATGAACAAAAGATCACTAAATCCATCATGTCTCAAAGAACAGGAAAAAATGTGTAGCAGTACAGTTTAATGCAGTGAAAATATATGAATACAAGGAAGGATGTAACCTGCCATATGTGTATTGGACCAAGGAAACCAGTATATTCTTCCTCAGATCCACTAAATAAAAACTTAATCAAATTGAGAATGCCTTTCCCTCGCTGTTTCTTCCGCAAATTGAGGTCTGCAAGGCTGAAACCCCAGTTTGAGACTTGCAATACAGCTTCCTCCGCAAAAGGTTTTGCATTTCCTTGTCGGATTGATTCTTCAACATCCCTTTGCCAGAATTCTTCATAGATAGGGTCTTCTATCAAAGCCCTATCCTGGAAAGACAAGAAACATGATAACTTAAAAGAATCAAGATTAGATGCTTGACAAGTGAAATGCTGCAGCAAGCAATTAACTTATTTACAATATAATATATTTCCACATTAAAAACCATAGAATGTTCTTGAAAAGGAATTTCATAGAAGTTTTAAACTCAACTGGTTTCCAGAACCTTAAAGAGTTCATAGTGTTCAGAGTCACTCACCCTCCTTCCCAGTGTCAATGCTAGCCATTGATCAATCTGACCATGCTTTCCAGAGAGGAAGCTTCGCCGGTAGAAGTAAGATAGAGATCTAGGAAATCTTCGAGCCAAAAAGTACATAAATTTCCTCTTTCGAGTCCACTTTTCCCATGTACCATATTTTTCTCCCCTATTCATCAGTGAATCATAGGGATTAACCATTGGAGCAAACATAGCTGCACCTGCAAATTAGCCATGGTGAATCAAAGATGATTGCTTCCCAGAGTATAGTGGGAAGTTTCATTCCTATAACCATGCAACAAATGAGAAAAACACAAGCATTCTTAAATCACAAACAATTTTAAATGAGGATAATGAACCAAATTTTGCATTGACCTCATAAATGTTTTCTATTGGCTTTGCACCCCTTCCCCACCCTACCAAAAAAAAAAAAAAAACCCACTTTTCTACATAATTAAGCAAAGCACTATCTAATTGAAGCTTTACCACTTTACCAGCAATAATAAACATGGTACTCTGAATAGGATTACAATAAAAGTGCTATTTCCACAATCCTTTCATTCATCCAGGAAAGAGTGCATAGTTTTACAACTCTCCAGAAATTGCTATAAAACTCCTTTGACGTTGCACTGGATGCACAGCATTTTTAAAGCTCACTTCAAACTTGTGAACTAAATGTACCAACTTTGCACTCAAAACTGAAAAATTGCCCAATTGTTATAGTGCGGTAATATTTTAAGTGGAGAGGTTGGTGTTTGAATCAGCTATCTCCTGAACTATCTGAGTTCACTTGCAACTAGACACATTAACACCTTTTATTTTGTATAAAATATTATTTTTTATTTTCACAGTATGGGTTCTCCTAAAAGCAATTGGGCATTCTCTCCCCCTCTTTTACTCACCTAGAATAGATGATAAATACATATCAAAGTATTTGAGAAGCCATCCTGCTTTATTCCAGCTTTCCCAGGGAAAGATTCCATGACTAAAGAGATGCAGACTTGGAAGAATCAAAGTTCCTGTTTTCTATGTAATTTCACTTTCATACTTCATGTTTTCTTTGTAATTTCAGAAGCCACCCTGTTTTATTCCTGCTTTCCCAGGGAAAGAATTACATTACCGAAGAGATGCGGACTTGGGATAATCAAAGTTCCAAGTTACAAATGTTTAGCAGGAAGAGAAAAAGGTGACTATCACTTTAATAGCATCATACTAAACGGCATAATCTTTTATTTCATTTTGGAAATGGTTAAACAGCATAAACCGTTTGAGCACAGCATGACATGTGCAAAGCCTTTATCTTTCCATTAATGAAAAATAATTAGCTTGATTATGTATTTTGAAACGACTAAATTTCACATAGTTCTTGTTCCTAGTAAGGCAATATAAGGATATACTAGAGATGATGCAAGAAAAAGTTACAAACTAATGTTCATGCAGATAAAATGAAATTAGTACCTGCAAGTCTATCAGGAATATATTTGAGAGCAGCCCAAGCATGCAGGCTACCACTTGAGTATCCAATTACCCAGAACTTGTCACTAACACCGAGAGCATTTGCTAAGAACAACATATCTGATGCTGATGACTCAAGGTTCCGCTTGGGGTGAGGATCACTCTCACCAAAACCTGGAAGATCATATGTTAACAAGCGCACACCAAACTCTTCTAGTAGTGAAGCCTTAAGTCCAGGAATCCCTAGTATTTGGGGGGAGAAAAGACACAAACTGAGAAAATAAGTGCGAATTGTATGAACACATGTCACTCAATAAAACCAAGTTCTTCTATACTCAATTTTGATACTAAACCTGCAAGTCGGGAAGAAAGAAATGAATGTGGAGTGATCATTGAAAATCTAGCTCTGTCAGCTGTAACGCCTTGCTCTCTATATGCCATATATCTACCATCTGGTAGCATTACGCGATCAGCACTAGGAGGATGTATGTACACTTTCTTTGCCACTGAGATGGCAGTATCACGTTCTGTAATTACAATCAAGACTGCAAGATTGCTTTTTTTGGTCAGTAACTGCTCAATGGAAACACAAGAAAAATAAATGTGTTATTCAGGTTAATCATCCTCTGCCATCAAAAGGAAAATGTAGGCTGAACAGATGGCGGTAACAAAACATCCTTGCTACGGCATGAGAACGAAGAATTACCAAGGCAGAAAATGTTTGATTGAAAATATGAAAATCAAAGGTACAAGACATGTTTGTAGGCCTCAAGTTCAGAGGTTTTCCAGAGAAACAACCCCACATAGCTAAAAAATAACTAATCTTAAATTTAATCATTGCAAATGAAATCCAAGTAAACATTCATTGGTTCAAAAGTGAGGCATAAGTAAGCACAAACAGAACAAAATTTTCCAATGCTGAATTTGGTAGTCTAGAGTCTAGATTTTTGTGGGGCAAGAAAATGAAATAATTCCAAGTATAGAAAATATGATCCATAATAAATTTACATTGCAAAAGTCAAATTAATCCTGTGCTACCAAATTGAATCCATGTGAGAATCTTAAAACTTGTGAATTAGTCGTGTTAACCATGCTTGAATAAACCAAAAAAAAAGAAAAACCCATTTCATGTAATTCCATATCTAACCAATAAAACCAACAAGAAGTAGAAAAAAAAAGGAAAAAAAAAGAATAAAATTAACAATACCTGCAAGAGCAAGAACAAAGACGAACAAGATCACAGACCATGCATGAAACGGATCTTTATCTTCAGGAACCAAGTACTCATTAAACAACCTTAATCTCCTCAAAACGTTGTCGCAAGGAACCTTAATTTTTTTACCTATGTAAGAATCCTTACCAAAATTCCTTACTAAAAACGAATCCTCTGTCACCAAACTCTGCTGCACCACATCTTTACACCCTCTCCCGAATTCCACGCTCATCTCAAGCAATCCCCTCATGAATTCACGAACAACATCCTTAAAATTGACTCCTTTATGCGGTGGTACGCCGGTGTATGCTGTTCCAAACCGCTCCTCCTCCTGAACACCACCCTCCATTTTTTTTTTAATGAAAACAGAGAAGAAAAATGTAAAAGGGTGTGGTTTTGAAGTTCAATTACAAAATTCCAAAAGGCTTGAACGTGACGCAGAAGCTAATGGGAATAAATTTCACAAACGAAGAGAGAAGAGAAAAAAGTGGAAAGGGAAAGGTTTGGTGAGGAAAAAGAGATGACTTTATTGTGGGCGAAGAGTGGACAGTGGAGATGGACGGTGGGAGATTTGTCCAGAGTGGACAAATGGGTGTTTGTTGCTGATCTCAGTGGCAGTAAAAGTCGTCAGTTGTTGGGTAAAAAATGTTGTCTTTCTTTTTTTTAACTGGCAATAACCGCCGTCAGTTTGTAGAGGTTGTTGGTTTTTGTTTGTTTGGGATATTTTCTTTCTTTCAACAAGTTTATATAATCACCGCCGTGTCAATTCCACAGCTTCTAAAAGCTCATTGGTGCAGGGCTTCGTCTGTTGATATCATGCATTTTCATGGCCCCTCTTTCTGTGTTGGATTACTGTTTTTTAGGGTTCTTTGGGTATTTGTTTGTTTTTGTATTCACCTGAGTAAAAACACTGGAAACCAACTGATGATTGGAATGGTAAAGATTTTATGCTCTTCCAATTTGTTAGAAAATTACAATTTTTTTTTTTTTATAAATTCATTTGATTTAGCATAAAATAAACTCGTTTGAATCGATTTTTAAAAAAAAAGTATCGGATAAAAATCCAAATGAATCCTTTCAAAAAATATATATTAGGTAAAATTTTAGAATCTTTTAATGCTTAAAAAACATTGAAAGCTTTTTTTTTTTAATTTTTAAAATTATTAATATTTCAATTTAATCGTTAAAATTAAAAGTCCTAACACCTTACTTAAAAGACCAAGCAAATATTGACAAAACACTGTCAATGAAAGAACATTTACAAGGAGATTAAGTTGTTTTTTTGGTGGGTTTTCTAATCATGGGTCCCTAATTTCCTGTGTAAACGCGAGCCATTAAGACCAAAATTGCATTAGCATCGAAATGACGTTGGCAGAAAAATGTGGCCATTAGTACTAAAACTCTCCAGCCTCCACCATGAATTGGCAATTTTCCAATTCGTTATTTGTTAAAAAAACCAGATGAAATTAACATATTGTCAGCCATGATGCAAGATGGATAGAGAAAAGGGTGGAGAGACAGTTTTCATCGGGGAAAGACATTGAAAAGGGAAATAAAAGAAATGTGGACCACAAAGGTTGATCCCCAAAAGAGCACATGATTTTGTGGTAGACTTGAGGAATGGCACAATGGCCTGAGTGCTCAAGTGGTCCTACGACTACTACTACTTAATTTACTTAATTTGATGCACAAACACCGTTGCATGAATCACATCCAAAGATTTCTCCATGACCTAATCAATAATTGTCTATGTTCTTCAGACAAAGAGTCCATGGCTTGATAAAGGCACATGGATGCCTGGACTCTAGTGTTTCTGCATCTATGCCCTGTTTCATGTTACGTGGATAGACTGTTTTCACCGTCAATGTTTTTCTTAATTTCATCGGAATCAATTGATTCTTTGGTAAATGCCCTATCCCTGTCAACAGCAATAGCTGATGCCCCATCGGCTCATCGCTCTACGACAGAAAAGGGTGGGGAAGGGAGAGAGAGTGTGAGTTTGAGTAATAAATACATATAAACTAAAAATCGAGTGGCTACAGACTTGCAACAAAGCTAACGTGCATTGCAGAGGTTGCAAGCTTGCTTCCAATCCTCATGTAAATTTTTGTGTTTGACACAATTTTCTGCCATGTCCCAAAGGGATCTTTCACCTTCACAAGGAAATAGCAATTAAATGCCAAAATTCTTGAAAAAAAACAATGAAAACCTAACCTTACGGGCAACTTTGATGTTAAAATCCAGGAAGGTGAATCCTTATCAAATTCCCGTTGACTTCATCAAGTGGACCCTCTAAAATGAGTTCCTAAATTGCCTAAATTTCTTCAGTTACAGCTGTTGATCTCTAGATCATTGTCTTCTCATTATTGTACTCTCAGAACATTGCCTTCTTTAATCATTTGTAATGTTTGCGCATCCTGGATTGAACATGAATATAAAAAATACTTAGATGAAATTGTTTAGGTGAAATTTATGTTATAAAATCGATTAAATAAAAAATTTAAACTGATATATTGAAAGATTTTACCATACGAATTAAGTCTGGAAAATTTTTTAAAATTAAATATAAAAAATTTTAATATATTTTTTAAATAAATATGTTTACTAAAAATCTTAGACAATAAGATTCAGCCTTCTAGTGGCCAGGTAGCCACCATTCCCTTAGCAATTTGACTTCTACATGCTGCTTCATACAAGAAAAGCAACAGCTGTGAAAGCAACCATCAACCGAAAACATCTGAGCAGAATCAATATCTGCATAACATATCACACAAGTCTCCTTCAAAGCCCTGCTCTGCCATTACTAGTTTCTTCAGACCAAGCAATCTGAGAGACTGTATCATCTCTAAGCAGGCCGGCCCATCTAAGCTTTGTAATTTCAAGCCACTTTGGGCCATATCTTCAGTGTATTTTTCATATCCAAGCCTGCTTTTTGACTTGAAATATCTATCTATCCCTTTTAAAATCTGCTTATGAGTTGTGATAAAAATCAGCCACTTGCCCATATGCAATTTCAATGTTCGGGTTTATTAATGTTATGTTTAACCTAAGATAAAATAAAAATCTTTTCCGGCAATCAATTTTTTCTAAATTGTTTTTTTTTTTTTTTTAATTTTTCGAACTTGATTGTCTTTCTTATTGCAGGGTTTGACACTGTAATTAGTTGATTATTGATTTCTAGACGAAGCATGCCGCAACAATTTGCCAAATCAATAAGAAAGCAGTTCATATAATAAAGGATATATGTCAAAAAGCAATGATATCAGATTATCAACCAAATTAAGCTTATCCTTTTGAAGTCAAACAATGAACAAGTTAGGCTCTCAATTAGTTACAAGAAAGATTTTAAGTACGAATTCAACCTTGGTTTGTTGAAAATTGTCTGCTGCCATTTTTTTCCATAATGAATTGCTAGCTTTATGAGTTTTCTTTTCAAATTTGCAGCGCTTAGCCTTTGGTTTGAAAACGCAATAAACAATTATGGCAGCCAATTTGGAAGGTCAATGAAATGTATTTACACACTCACGGCCCCCTGTTCCAGAAACAAGCCTTTTCCTTTTTTTTTAAGCCCAAAGAGTTTCATTAAAAAATCAAGAAGATTGTAGAGATAGCAACAAGGCTATAAGAACCCTGAATTTAGGGTTCATTCCGATTGATTTATATAATAATTTTTAAGGAATGATATTTAATAAATTTTTAATTTTTTTTAAAATTGTAATTTTTTTATGCATAAAAAAATTTAAAAAAGAGAAGAAACTAGTTACTTGAGTGAACATTGTTCGAGGGATTTTCCTTTTAATTTGTATTGAGATCCCAATTCTTTACAAATCCTTAATTTTTTTTTTTTATACAAAGGGTTCAAAGCATAAGAGAATTGAATAAAAAAATAGTAAGTGTTAAAAATTAAATTTTAATTTCATAAAAATTTATTTTAAAAAATTAATGAATAATCTAAAATAAATCTCGAATTTTTTAAAACCATGTTCTTTAACTCAAACAGAAAAATAATATAATAATATATCTACTTAACTGAACGATTGACTTGCAAGCAAGTTCAAAAGGTAGAATTAAATGGCAAACAACTGGTTCCGATCCCACAACTCTCTTTTCTTGAATGTGACAGTAAAATCTTCTCTGTCCATATGAAGAACATATATGACAATTACCACAAACATTTTTTCGATAATTATAATATGATTTACCTCTTATTGGAAAAAAATTAAAAAAAAAAAAGAAAAATCAAAAGTGATATCTAAGATTGAGATATAAAGTGCTTTAAGATACAACAAAGAATTCCTGGAAATCATAAACATATATATATGGACAGAATGATCAATTTTTGCGCGTTAAAATGTTTCTAAAAAGATGTAATCATTATAATTTAAAGAATCAGAAAGGGGGGGCCTGTTGTGGGTCCAAATGTTAAAGCATTTCACGCGTTCTCTTTGAAAACTTTAGGGATATGTTTCATGAATCATGATTCGTATCGATTATAGACTTACAGTGAGAAAGAAGAACCAGCAAATTCAGTTCTAAAGACTGCGTTCTTCATCCAAAGTGAAATATTCCACACCCAAATATTAAAGCAATAAAGGCCAAAACAATGCAAAACAAAAGAAAAAAAAATGACTTCAAGAGAGCGATAACCAAAAGTTTTGCCGTACGTATTTTTTTTTTTTTGTTAGATACTTTTGAAATTAACATGAAAAAGATCGATCCCTACTGATTTCAACTCCTTTGGCTTTTCTCCTTTTAGATTAAGTGGGGATTGCTGTTTACTACTTACTAGTATTGTTCTACATTTTTTTTCATTAAGTCAAACATGGCTTCCCATATCATCAGCTTTGTCCAATCTTATTTCATCTTCTTGAATCATTTTGATTAGTTGATACCTACCCTAAACTATGCAAAATTAACCTAATGCCACTACACTCTACTTCCACTACCATTTTTAATGGATTTTTCACCTTTAAATTGAACAAAATTTGTTCTGTGAATCGCCTATTGTGGGCGAGTGTACTTGAATGTCTCGTATATAAATGATTCGAGGAAGAAAATTTATTAATTTGAAGATAATTAATTTTTTCAAATGTGACCCGGCCGAATCATTAATTAATGAAAAATAAAATTATTTTATTTAAATTTATTTTTAAAAATGTATAAAATATTAATATAATTATTTTGATATTTTTGAATAATAATCGAGTTTATTAATTATTGCAGCTCAACAAATTGAGTCGGGCCCGACGTTAGACAAAGGATTTGAAAAGTCAATTGAATTGATCGGATATATGGACAAATCTATTAGTATAAATGTCCAAGTAATTTATATTATTATTCTATATATATACAGGGAAAATGATACTTTTACTGTGGATACAAAATAAATGGTGACGAATTAGGTTTAAGATAAAGGTGGAAAAAATGGGTACCAAACCTTGGTACGTGGCTGTCATTGTTATGCTTATCATGGATCGAATGGAATGGGTAAGAGAGCTCCGTGGCTATCATTTCACAAAAGAAAATTAAGGAACAATGCACATGATTATCTGAACCATGTGGGCAGACATTGATTCGAACGTGACGACGAGATGCATATGTAGTCTTTTATTCTAAATTGTCGTTAATAACTTAAGAAAGCCAGAAAGTTTGTATGTTTACAACATCCTTTTTTAATTCAAGAGTTTCGTACTAAAGAGGCTATCCTGAAATCTGAAATTTAATTAAAATATTTTCTCCATATTTTTATGAGGTAAATTCTCATAATAGGATACATTTACCTAAAGTTTGTATGAATTATTTGTATAACTTTATGTTTACTTTTTCATTAAATTAATTAATAATTACTGTATTTACTATAAAAATATTATTGTAGAACAGCCGGCAAGCAGGGCTCACACGCCCATAACTACCCAATTTTTCGTCGTATATAGCAACAGGTTAGCTACGTGTTGCTGTAGGTGCTGGGCGGTTCACCAAGAAAATTTTTTGTTGGGCCAGTCGTTCACCAAGAACTGAGAAAACTATGACTCCCATTAATATATGTGCCATGCATTATCCCATTGAACTAAGCTAATGACTCATAATTCCAACGGCAAGAAGATTTTATCTATAACTTTGGACCACTGGTTTTCGTTTTGAAGCATTGGTCTGGTGCCCCTTTTAGCATGAGTGATCCTATAATTAATCTCAAAATTAATATTCAGATATTAACTCAATTTTATAAAAGGTTCCCAAGCTTTTAACCTAGTAATTAAAGACGTTTGAGGTGATATCAATGATTTGGTATCGAATCAAGCCTCTTCCCTTCTCCTTACTTGTAGTAAGGCTTTACATTTCTATGTAACCAAAAAACCTTTTATAAAGGATTTTTGTTGTTAATTGAATAATAGTTTAGATGACATGTATGTTGAATAAATTTATAAAAATTACGAGTTCAAAAGAATTTGAATGCATAATTTCATCCTCAAATAAGTATAAATAGTGAATGAATGAAATATTTTTTTGTCAATATTGACTTCAGATCTAAATTTTAGCATCACCCATGGTAACTCAATACTTTATAAGTATCTAACTAACTAGTAGCAGTACTTTGTAGATTAACATTTTTTTTTCTTCACTTATGACTATTTGAAGCACATGCTTTTTTCAAAATGGTCTAACAAGACCTAATCTTACAAGTCCAAGAGATCCAACATGTCATTTTGTGTGTGTGTGTGTGTGTTTTTTTTTTGTATTCTTCTTTGGTTTGTTGCAATATATTAAATCGGCATACAAGAACAAAACGACTAGTCATTTTGAAGAGTTATTTTCATAATATTTGTAGTACATGGGAAACTGTTGGTTTCATTCGATGAGCTTTGACTTTTTTGAAACCCAATCTTATTTAAAACAAAGGGAGAGAAGGGCAGAGCTTCACACACTTTTTAGTCAAAAGAACACAATATGTTTCCCTTTCCAAACATGGAAAATAATGGCATGTTGGGTAAAGGATGGAAGAAATTTTGCCTCTTCTATTAAATGACAAATGTGTTGTAGCCTTTCTTAAGATCAATTCACGTGGGATGCACATGATTTGGATTATACTTCCCAAACCGCGTTTAAGGTAAGTGGGGAGACAAAATTTCAAAAGCAAATCATTTATTTTGAAGCAAAAGTTAATCAAAGATCATACATTAGCACGTTTGATGTTAATTACGTCTTTTATTATCTAACAATAATGCATAATCCAAACAAGAATTAATCTCTCTTTCAAAGGGTCCATTTGCTACATGAATGTTAAAAAGCTTAAAAGAGATTAAACACATCTAATCGTGATTAAAACCCACAATTAATCTTAATTAATTATGTTTTATTAAAGAGACATTTTTCACGGTTAGAATTTAAGAATCTAAATTCAAGTTTTCAAATTCGAATCTTGATACGAAAATGATCGAGTTATGAAATGAAACGAGACTTACGTATTGTATTACTTAAATATTAGATGAATTAAAATAAGAAAGTGCGAGATTATATCCGTTCCCTTTTACTTCATCTATTTTTTTAATGGGATTAATCATGACAATTTCATTCTTGGTCTGCTACCATCATATCATTTTCCAATTACAGGAAAAGAGCTTGCCAATATATAGCTTATTAGGTATGAAACATCCAGCAAAGGGAAGGAGGAAGAGGAATGGGTGATGCACAATATAAAATTTGTGGTGGTGAAGCTGAGATGGGACTCTCGATCCTTCCAAAGGGTCATCCAACTTAGTCAAACTTGGGAAAATAAAATTGAAAAAACAGATGATAATGGAAAATGACTATTGTTCTATCTACTAATTGTTAATCAATTTGCACATTAATGTATTAGAAAAGGATTAATCTTCTCAATTACCATATATGTCCTTTAGAAAAATCGACTACTGATTTAGAAGCACATCTTGAATTTGATCAGTCTAAGTGAATAAAAATAGTGTTGAAGTGAATTCCTTGGTTTCACTTATATCAATTTATTAAACAATTATTTTACTCATATGAAATGTTGGACTCTCAATTCTAGTAACCAAAGTTTAATTCCGGCAATCTTGAGTATAAAAAAATAAATTATTAAAAGAAGAAATTAATCTTAAAAATAGAAAGAATCTAATAAAATACAATAAAGTTTCTGATATGAAAGTGTAAAAGATTGATATCATATTTGAATTCAGAATTTAATTCAGTTGATTTATACAATCACTTTTAAAAAGTGACATTCAATAAATCTAAGTTTAAATTATATCCAATAAATCTGAATTTAAATCCAAATATTTACAATTCCATCTCTTATCTCTAAGACTACGATTTCTTTTGTAAACAAACAAGAAAGTTAATTTGGGAGCATCTTAGCAAATTCAGATGAAGACTTGCTCATGTTTCATTTGTACCATAAGATTGCAAAAATAATAATCCTCATACATGGCGGGTGTAGTGAAAATTGCTAAACGAAAGAGATGGTCAAAAGCTAGTTTGACAAGGAATTAATGGAACATCAATTTTAAGTAATCATAGTAGGTGACCTAAAATTTGTTAAAATTTCAATAATCGGCACAGAAACAAACTTTAGAAAAATTGGAGTAAATATTTCTCTTTCTCTCCAAACATGGCAAATTACATGGAGGAAAAAGACCTGTATGCTTCGTCCAGCTTTAACAAAGTAATTAGATCTTAAGTTTACATTTCCACCATGTATTTGTTCACATTATAACCTATTTCTACTGATTATGTTAAATATTTATTAATCTAATGTCCTTCAACTTCTCCTTCTTTGGAGCTTAGCTAGATCTTAGTTTCTCAAAGGAGTGATAAATATTTAAGCATCAATCATGTCCACAGAGTCTCCCATAATGATCCTAAGTTGTTGTCTTCCATGAAGCTCGGGTTGCTGTGGTAGCTTTGGGGGCTGCTGATGAAAGTGTCGACGGATTGCTGGGAATTTGGTTGAGGAGACTGTGCCACCTCCATGCAAAGTAAAGCTGCAAGGTTTGCTTGCTGCAACTGCATGTTGATGACTTCAGCTTGAGCTTTGGCTAATTGTGCTTGCAGCTCATTAACTTGCTTTTGCAGCTGGCAAATCGCCCCTGCACACCCGTAAACGGGGTCTCGGATTCTTGCACTGGCCTCATACACCATGCTGCTTACCGCATCAGCCCTTTGAGACTCTGGAAGTTCCTGAAAAATAATTCAGAACAAACCACTGATGTAGCATCTCTAATATTGGTCTGAGAAAGTCTACAACTACACCTTAACAACAAAATTATCAAATCAATCTGTCGTCAACTAAGCCCAAAAGTCAACAAATGAATAGGCCTTAATGTCTGGAAAAAAAAGAGAACCTAATCCCACTCAAGTTACATTAAATTAGATTTGGAAACTGTACTGAGCAGCGCAATTTTTTTTTTTTTTATGGGGGACAGTCAATTTCCTCATTTCAATATGGAAAACGCAATGTATATTTCTTGAGTCTTGGCATAGTCAGAGAGGGGTATTAAGAATAAAAAGTGTCAACGTTTTATGCAGAAAGTAAGGTCGTTGCCACATGCACTGTTTCTACCTGTATATGTAAACAAACCTCATGTAACATGCTTTTCAGATTGCTGTTCGAAGCAAAACACAGATTTATTAGATAGAAAATTAGCTTAATTTTTTAATTTACCTGCAGCATACGCCACTACTCCCTCCAAAACAAAGACACTTAAAAATTGTTTTGGTTGGAGATCGAGGAAGAGGATATTTCGCAACTATTGAACTTCTGACTTGGACTGCAACAATCACTAAATGACCTTTTTTCGTTAATATATCTTTTTGCCACAATAATTGTCAACGCATTAACCAAAAGTAGCCTTATCCCATTTCACACTAGTGCTAAAATAGCCATTCTTGATCTCTCTGTGAGAAATCTCCTAGTACTATAGACATGTTATTATTTGCAGGGGAGATGAAGAAGAAATTACCCCAAACAAATCAACTACGTACCTGCAAGAACTTGATTATGTTGCTAGCACCGAACACACGATGAGCAATGGTGAACTTGGCTGGTTCCGTAGGAGGAAAATAAGGTGCCAACACACATTTATCAGCACACCTTCTCCTCAAAATCTTGCAAGCGGCACAAGGACTAATAACAACCGGTGGAGTTAGCGTAGGAGAAGGAGGAGAAGGCGAAGAATTAGGAGAAAGTGATTGTGGAGAAAATGTGGTGGTAGTGGTAGTTGTAGTAGCAGGAGTTGCTTGATCACTATATTCCATCTTAAACATGATCAGAGTTTTAGGCTTTTAGGTGAAGGGAGAGGAATTCAGAGAGAAAGAGTATGGAATGATAATGTTGGGGTAATTTGTTTTTGCATTGAAAGGGCATGATTTATAGAAGAAATGATGCTAAACAGTTAAGTCATGTAGTATGAAGCATGACATCATTAGTTCAAAATCTTTTTAGATTGCTGGTTGGCTGCTTTGTGTGTTTTCACCATGCATGGCCAAATTTAAAAAAAAAAAAAGAAAAAAATCTTTAGTTCAGTTAGGTTTATTATTTTACATTTCTTTTCTTGGCTTTATTGACAAAAAAACTTCTAGTTTGAAACCTCTTTCCTCCTAGTCCTAGCTACCTCCTTGTCTATTTCACTGCTAAATTCTTTTTCTTTTTTCTCGACAAGAAAAGCCCTATGGGGGAGGGGGAGGGGGGATTTTTTTTTTTTTAATAGAAATACGGGGGGATATTTTTTTAGCCATAAAACCTCGCCAATGACTAAGATTATCAATATGAATATATAAAATTAAATATTTATATTTTATATATTATTAATATATAAAAATTATATAAAATGACAAGTTATAAATTAATCATCAATAAACATATATTTTTATAAATTAATCGGTTGATCATCTCCCAATTTATGGATTTTAATATATATTAGAATAAATGTTGAATATTCAATAAATTGATATATATATATATATGCAGTCTTAAAGAACAAAATATATCAATTTCAGTCATGAAGAGAAAAAATTTTTGATAATTTCACTAGCTTATATCATTAACAATATCATTCCTTAATGCGAAAGGAATGATATAAGCTAGAAGAGAGAGGAGGATATCATTAATTGCAAACCATATGATAGAAAAATCTTATTTTGTAAGCACCATATGCTGGAAATGCTTATTTCAACACCGATTCCTCGACAAAAAATCGTTAATAACCCTATCAAAAATTTCAGTAACAAACACAAAAGAATACTTAAGTCATTATTTTTTTTTTAATATTTAAAATTGCTAGAATTCCAATTTCAAACATTGAAATTAAAAATCTATCATTTTATCAATTAAATTATATGATTGTTGATAAATTTTTTACTTATCAAATAGTAAGTCTCTTTGTTTTAAAAAATTTTACAAATGCTGAAGGTAAAACCTTAATCTAGTGAACGTTTTTTACCTATATGAGAAAATTCAAAATTAGCAGAAATTATTTTATTTATTGTCGATGAAATTTTAAACTCTACAAGAAAAATTAATACTGTGACATATATTTTTTAAATTTATTTTGAAAAAAAAAAGGAACTAATTAGAAAAATAAAATATACATAAATTTTTTAATTCACTTATAAAATTTTTAAAAAAATATTAACTCTATTTTTAAAGCTTATTAATAACAAGCCGAAACCCAAGTGGTCCACACATAACTACTTTTTGGCCCAGCCTTAGCCGAAAAGGCCACGTAGCGACGTCATGGGCAAATAAGTCGAGAGCGGTTACGTCGGCGAGTTATTGGGCTTACAGCCACCTCCAAGACTTAGCTATCTTTTTAAGTTATATCTAATGTATAAAATTATGGATAAGATTCTATGATAATAATTTTTTATTATATTTAGTTTATATCTAACTAAAAGGAATAAAATTATAAAGAGAATTATCTTCTTGATATAAGATGATTTAATCTTACAAAAATAAAAAATATTATTTTTAATTTATGAAATTAAATTTATATGTGTTATTATGTCTTTAAAAATTATATCAATAATTTAAATTATATAAATTTTGAAAAAAAATAATTTTAATTAATAAATAAATTATTTTATTTCAATCCCTACACATGTCAAATATAAGATATGATGATATCATTAAATTTAATTCTATTTGTAATATTATTTTATTTTATTCTATCGTAATCTTATATATTAAACATGACATTAATTCATTATCAACCACTTGCCCTTAATGACAAGGAGGCTAGATTTTTCTTTTACACGAAAAAGAACTTAATTCTTAGAAAGTGTACACATAAATCAACTATATATGGTAAGGATCAACTAAAATTACTCTCACATTTTTCATAATTTTTTTTTTTATTTCACATGTGTGTATTTATATGTGAGTGTACTAATGAAAAAAAATTAAGATAATAAAAAGAGTTGATTTCAATTAAAAAATTAATTTGATTAATTTATACAAATATCATTACAATGTAATATTTAGTAAATTTGATATTCAAATATTAAATTTATCATTCTTTCGAATTAATATTTCTTTATAAATCTTTATAAAAAAAATGATTGACTGCACAAGAAGTAAAGAAAAATTTTTATCACGAGCCTTAAGCTGCTGTTAAGGATTGTGAAATCTCTAATCTTATTAGTTTTATCATATCTTTGATCATTATAAAAAAAATGAAATTTCCACCTCATAGAAGGGGATAAAGGAAAATTTTTAAATGCTTGGGAGAAAGGTTTTTATTATTTTATTATAATCAATTAAATTTTTAAATATTTATTTTTATTAATAATTTTTTATTGGACGAAAATATATTAATTGTCAACATCTATATTCCTTCAATCGAAAATTCAATTGTTTTGAAAGTAAATATTTAAAGATGCATTTGAATAAAAATAGATGTTTAATTATTTAATTTATTCGAAATAAGGAAATTCAAAAGTTTATTAATTATAATAAAATTTCAAAGATTTAAGTAATTATTAAATTTTTGTTAAAAATGATTTTTTTTATCCTTAAAAGCTTTCAAATTTGCAATTAGAGTCGACAATCCAACCCACACTCATCTAGTTCCAACTTGACAAGATCTTACAGGATCTTATTTTTTAAATTGAATTTTGAGTAGGATCGAGTATTTTTGAAAAAAAATCGAGTCAAATCAAGATCGAGTTTAATACGTATCTGTTCATACCCGATTTGATATATATATATATATTTATTATTATTATTATTTATTTAATTATATATATACATTATATTTTTATATTTATTTAATTTTATATTTATATTTTAAAAAATAATATGTTATATAAAAATTAATATTTTTTTAATTTCAAGTCAATTATAAATTTAAATATATATATGTCAAGTCAAGTTTGGATATAAAATTAATATTGTAATATTCAATCAAGTCAGTTTAAATATCAAACTTATAAAATCAAATTGAATTTGAAACAAATAAAAATCCGTACCGTTCCAACAAAGTACCATCTCTATTTGCGATAGATAAATAGTTAGAAATTGCAAATATTGTTGGCAGTTCGACATCCAATACTCCCACACTGTCTCAAAAGATTCTTTTCCGCGTGGACCTTAGACCGAATGAAATGAAAAACACCAAAGGCCAGCTTTGCCTTTGGTTTTACTCTTTTATTATGGGAACAAATTGATAAGTAGGCAATGGCAAGTGTAAACACAAACAGCTTCTAACTAATCCATTCCGCCCAAATGCGACAACAGATATTTTGATAAACAAAAGTAAAAGCTTTTAACCATTCATTCATTTTTTTTTTTTGGGCTCTCTGGTATATCTACTTAGTTGGGATTGAGATTGGGTTGCATTAACATTAAATTTTAGTTTAGACTTATACAAGATGAGTTGTTATGTATTGCAAGACTTAAATTTTATATTGTTTAAGCAGCTTTAATTGTTCTTATGCTTTAAAAAAAAATTTAGTTCTCTCAAACTCTACTTGTATGGGGTATATATTTTCTTGGGATATGCATATATTTGCAAAACAAAATTATTTAGATTAACAACTTCCTTTTTCATTTATTATCATTTAGATTTTTTTTATTATTTTTCATTACACAGTTGATACTTTTGTCATACCTACTTCCTTTTCCCAACTTGTTTCTCATGTCAATCCTCTTTCTCCACGAAAAAGTAAGAACACAAGGCCCTATTATAGTGCATGAAAAATGTTGAGGAAAAGAAAATATCAGGGAAACTTAAAAAAAAAAAAAGAACAATAGAAGATTCTTTACTTTGTTTTATCTCTAACTACTTACTCCAGGATAACTTATTTTATATATATAATACAACTTCAGATATTTAATTATAAATTTTTATTCTCTAAATATTAATTTGACAAAAATAATGCAATAAATGTATTTAATATTCTTTACAGCACCCCTTGGAGACCATAACCCTGTTCAACGTTCGGGCATGATTAAAAGGCTGGCGCCTTTTCTAGTTCCACCATTAACGATTGCAAAAACAATGCAGCAGCCAGCCATGATCCGATTATTAAGATGAGGAAATATGAGTGGGTGTAGCTCTGAAGGTCGGGTGCCCTGATTCTCCCAAAAGTTTTGTGTAATTATTAATGCAATTAAGACCGGGACCAAGACGCAACGTCATATTCTTTAGACTTGACTAGCGCGCAGCTTTCATATCCCTTTCTACATTGATGATCAACCTAAGTTTTGTGCACCAAATACATGGTGCATGGATCGGGTGAATGGCCAGCAAAAACTAGTGGAAACTGAACTAAAAGGCTGAAGAAATTTGATAATACCTTATAAGTCTTTTCACGCGACCTTTTATCGCAGACGGATTCTTCTTCACTTTATCTTAACGTATTCATATTGACCGACCTATTTTGAATTCTTCATTGTTCATATTGGTATAATGCTTGAATCTTCGAAATTAATGGAAAAGATTATAAAAAATAAGTATTCATGTCGAACACATATCCACGACGCTCTATCTTTAGTGTCACATTAATGCTCTTACGAGGCTTTGCTGGATTGATGGAGCTAATTTTTATAGGTTTACTATAGTGAATGCTGCTGCTGCACGTACACGAGAAAAATAAAACTAAAGTGCTGTTTGCCACACCAGTGTAGTGTAGTGGGAGCGTTCCAAAAAAAATGCAGTGCGATGGATAGAGATTATGTCCCATTGCAGAGGGGAAAAATCAACCTACTAATGACCTCAACCGCCTTAAAATTCTGAAAATGAGTACTTCCGATATTTAATCTAAAAAAGTAGACTGCTTGTTCATTAATTAATTCCCTCTGGTGCCGATCATATATAGGATAATAATGATCCATCATTGAGCTTCAATATGATGTTTATTTACTCTGTTACACCCGATTCTTCTTTCCAAGAA